AATTTTTTATACATAACTTTGAAAAGACATAAATTAAAAAAGAAACATTTTCTTAATTAAACAATGCTTAAAATGGAAAATAAATGTAAAATCATTTTATCATCCTCAGCCATACATGCTTGTAGATCCATGAATGTTTGGAAATTGGGTAGGAACAAATGAACTTGTAAGCTAGCCGCTTGCTATTTTTCAGTTTCTTGTTTATTATGAATAAAGCTCCACTAATTATAAGAAAAATCATTGCATGGTTTGAAATCACCAATGTCTATGAATTAAAGTCGATCGCTAGGTGACATGTAAGTGGATATTATATTAACTTCTTTTCTTTTTTTTTTTGTAAATTTAAAAAAAAAATCAAAAGAAGATTGGCAAGGACCATATGTATTATCATATGAGAAATTTTACAGTACCGTTAAAAATTTAAAGGGTTTTGAAACTTTTTTTATGTTTAAAAAAATTGTGAATATTTGATATTTTAGAATAATTTAATTATATTTATTATTTTCTTAAAATTCTTAATATATATACATATATATATATACATATATATTACGATTTTTCATATTTATATATAAATTTTGAGAAACAAATTGGATAAAAAAAATTCACAAAATCTTCCTTTATTTCAGCAAATAGAATTTTATTATGTTTTTTTTCAAAGTTATTTTGATTTTTACAAAATGATTTAAAATATTTGGACTAGTATTTAATAAGAAAAAAGAATAAATTAATTACTTAAATTACCTATTTGTCAATAACACATACTTAATGCAGAGGGAAAAAAGTAAAAGAAAAAAGAAAAAAAAAATACATTTTAAGTCATTAATTTGTATTGATTTTAAAAATTGACTGTATCAAAACATCTTAATTTAAAATGATACTTTAGCAACTCTCATATCATATATTTTGAACTATATAATAATTTAATATAATGCAAATTTAATCTCGATTCATTGCAGGAAGACTCTCTAGAAACGTTATCATGTGTGGAAACGTGCTTTTAAATGGAAAGAAGAGGAGATTAGACTATGGAGTTGTAGTAAGTCTAAGTAAATACTAACTCTACATTCCAGTTTAAATTTGGTATATTGTTATACTGGTATTTGGCCTTTTATTGAATTTGCATGGATAATAAAAGAAGGCGCTATGCAAATGACATTTTTCCAATTTATCAAACTGTTACTTTATTTTTTGTTGATTAGCTTGTTAATGTCCTCATCATAGAAATTTTTTATCTATCTATATAGGCTTATGTGACCCAAGAAGACACATTGCTGGGAACACTAACAGTGAGAGAGACAATATCTTACTCAGCCAATCTAAGGCTCCCATCTAGCATGAGCAAAGAAGAGGTGAATGACTTGATAGAGGGAACAATCATGGAAATGGGTCTTCAAGAGTGTGCTGATAGGCTTATAGGGAATTGGCATTTGAGAGGCATAAGCGGTGGAGAAAAGAAAAGACTAAGCATAGCACTTGAAATCCTCACAAGGCCTTCCCTCTTGTTCCTTGATGAACCCACCAGCGGTTTGGACAGTGCCTCAGCATATTTTGTTGCTCAAACTTTGAGAAACATAGCTCATGATGGCAAGACTGTTATCTCTTCTATACATCAGCCAAGTAGTGAAGTTTTCTCACTCTTTGACCATCTCTTTCTTCTTTCTGGAGGTCAAACTATTTACTTTGGAGCAGCACAAAAGGCAGTTGAGGTACATTTCTAAAAAAACGTGTGATATACAAAGGGTGCATTGGATTTGCCTATGTTTTAATGTGTTTGGTTTGGTGTTAGTGAATCAGATGAAAGATGAAAAGAAGGCTCAAGTTAGTTATTCATAGGAAACGTGAATTTAAATAACTTGCTTGGCTAATAACTAACATAACTCATTAACTAAAAGTCAACTTACACTAAAAGAAACAGAATCTAACTGAATAACTGCAAAGAAGCTAATAAAAACAGAGAGATAGCATTTCGTAGAATCTGTCAACATTTTAGTGTGCTAGAAATTTTCAAGTTAGAATTTTTAACTTTGCTCTTGTGCCTCTCCGATATATGTTCCAATGCAAATTGTTGTGTTTTGATATAACAACCTTGCGATTCTTAATAGGTTAAAACCTGCATTTATAAATTATCCATCTATATATTTCCACAGTTCTTTGCCACAGCGGGATTCCCATGTCCAAGCAGAAGAAATCCTTCAGATCATTTCCTCCGTTGTATTAATTCAGATTTTGACGCTGTCACGACCACTATGTCCCAAAGAACTCATGTATATATCTCTAACAATTTGTTTTATCAATACATTCACAAGTTTCATAATTATTTGTCAATTTTACTTATTTCCTTCTTTCTCCATTTTTATTTTTTTAGTTCTGACTATTAATGTAATATTTTTCCTCCTTCCCTTGAAATCTCTTCCTTTAAAATTCGTTCCTCTCACTATCTTCGCTGTATACAGGAAGGAATATCATTAACGGGGTCATTATCAACTGCAGAAATCAAAGCAATACTCATAGAGAAATACAGATGGTCAGAGCACGCAACCACCGCAAGAGCAAGAATCAAAGAAATCTCAAACATTCATGTAAGTAGCCATTTACTCAGAACACGTTATAATTGCTAACTGTTGTTCACAGAACATAAAAGGGTCACGTAATATCAATTCTTTGTATGAGCTGAAAATGTTACAGCTAGTTAGACTATGAAAGAAAATAATTATTAGGAAATAACAGTGACCGTGGGTCGTCAGAAACATATTTTGTGGGATGGTGGTGGCCCTTTAGATTACAGGAATTAATGTTATTACAGGAAGGACGTGATGTTGAACGTAAAAGCAAATGCGAAGCAAAATGGTGGAAGCAACTATCAACGCTGACTCGTAGATCTATGGTGAACATGTCAAGAGATGCGGGATACTACTGGATAAGGATAGCTGTCTATGTTGTCTTATCTTTGTGTGTTGGAACAATCTTTCATGGAGTTGGATTGAGTTATAGAGACATTTTTGCGAGAGGATCATGTGCTGCTTTTATATCAGGCTTCATGTCATTCATGTCCATAGGGGGTTTCCCGTCTTTCATAGAAGAAGTGAAGGTATCAAATGTTTGACACAACTTTAACTAGTTCAAAACATGGGGAAACGGTTATGGCATTAATTAAGTTTTTGATCAGTGCGTTTTTTATCAGTGCTTAACTTTTGCCCCCCTCCTGATAGGTGTTCTACAAAGAAAGACTGAATGGGTATTATGGCGTTGGCGTCTACATTCTATCAAATTTTCTCTCTTCCTTTCCCTTTGTAGCAGGGATGTCCATTTTAACGGGGACAATAACCTATTATATGGTTAATGGGTCTCATTCAGAATTTTCACATTTGTTGTATATCTGTCTGGATCTTATGGGCTCCATAGCGGTTGTGGAGAGCTCCATGATGATTATAGCTTCACTGGTTCCCAACTTCCTCATGGGATTGATAATTGGAGCGGGATATGTTGTAAGTGTAATCCAATATATATATATATATATATATATATATATATATATGCCCATTTTTCATTGAAAATCTTTTGTTGCTGATTGAAGTACTTGTGCAGGGTGTTTTGATGATGACTTGTGGCTATTTCCGTCCGATCCCTGATCTTCCCAAAATCTTCTGGCGCTACCCAGTATCATACATCAATTATGGCGCATGGGGATTGCAGGTAGAAAGTTCATAAATCATAACGCCTAGGAACCTCACCATTCTCCAATAACATACAAAATCTAAAGTTCATGATCCAACTGACAACTAAATAGTTTATATATCTAAACTTGTTAACAAATCAAAATATAATTTTCCAATCACAACTTCTAATGCTTTAGTTGACAAGCGCGATTTGTTGAGCTTACTTACTGATCATGGGGAATGCAGGGAGAATACAAGAATGACTTGATTGGGAAAGAGGTTGATC